CTCTGGGGGGATTTTTTCTCTCTCTCTCTCTCTCTCTCTCTCTCTCTCTCTCCCTCTCTCTCTCTTTCGCTAGCACACATACCTATAACAAAAACTAAAAAAAAGGAGGGGGGAAGAAATCTAGTTTGAATCTCTTTAGAAAATACACATCGGTTTATTATCAATCCTCAGTCATATTCACCCAGTAATAAAGATTGGGCAGATACCAGGACTCTGTAGAAAGAATGATCGATGGCTTTCAGATACTAAATTAGAGTAGTGCTGATTTAAGTAGTGATTACTGCTTCTATGAAACTTAAGTTCCTTTCCCCCCCTTTTGCTAGCCTCCCAATAAAAACCCTTCAACATTCTTCTATGTAGAGTATTCAGCTAATGTGAGTGCCTACTTTTATTCAAAGAGGTCTCCAGACGTGACTCTAGAACCATTCCATGAGTGTCAGCCTCACAGACTATTGATTTTGCCACTGTATGCCACCTGTGTCTTATGACTTTGAGTTTGATTATAATATATCTCAGGGAATATGTCTATATTTAATCTACTTGGAGTTCTTTGAGTTTCACCAGTGTAATTGTTCCTTTCCCTCTCCAGAATTGGGAAATTTCTGTCATCATTTTAAATAAGTTTTCTGCCCTTTTTGCTGCTTCTCTTCTTTCTGGGACACCAAAATGCATATTTCACTTTGCTTAATGGCTTACCATATTTCACATAGGCCTTCTTCACTCTTTTATCTTTATTTTTATTTTTTGTTCCCCTGATTAAGTAATTTCAAATGACTTATCTTTGAGCTTGCTAACTGTTCTGTTTGATCAAGACTGTTATTGAAACTCTTTATGGCATATGTCAGTTCAGTCACTGTGTTCTGTAGCCTCAGAATTTCTGTTTGGTTCTTTTTTAATGGCTTCTGTCTCTATGTTTTGCTTCTCATTTTGTTCATGTGTTATTTTCCTGATTTTATATATTCATCTATGTATGCTCGTAGGTCACTGATCTTTTTTAAGACAATTATTTTGAATTCGTTGTCAAGCAGTTTTTAAATCTTCATTTCTTTAGATTTGGTTATTGGTGCTTGATTTTTCTTGTTCGGTTACTGTTTCCCTGATTATTTGTGGTCCTTGTGGCTATGCATATCTGCATATTTGAGGAAGTAAGCACTTATTCCGATCTTTATACACTGATTTTGACAGAGCCCTCCACCAGTTAGTTAGTCTTAAGATTCTGGGCAAGAACCAGCAGTTAACGTAATGGTTACATTGCTAGATGCCTACATATTCTACTACAGTTGAGTCCCTAACCCAGCAGCTTAAAACTCACACTGGGCGTGTGTGTGTCTGTGTGCCCCAAATCCTGAGAGAATGAAGGAGAAGGGATTGCAGTGTGGCCATCCCGCCTGTTGAGTGATTTCTTGCTTTCTGTCTCTCTGTCTCTGTCTCTGTCTCTCCAGTGAGTTCACGTGCCCTTTAACAAAAATCTCTCTAAAAAAAAGATTCTGGGCAGGCCATCTGGCATGGCAGGAAGACTTGATGCTAGAATCCTCAGGAAGCTTGGCCTAGTGTTTGAGTCCAGTGGGGAAGACTTAGAACTTGGATCAGTAGAACAGTCCTGGTGCTTATATCCATGGAGCCTGGTTTGGCATTGGAGTCTGCTGAGGTGAGCCTCAGTCTGCTGGAGCCTAGGTGTATAGATGCTGACCTTCAGACTGGGTCTGTGAGGGCTAGCTGGGAGCCTAGAGCCACAGGGGCTGACTCTGTGCTGGAATGGGCTAGAAGCTGAGTTTATCTTCATGGGTCCTGAGTCCACTGGGGCCAGCCTGGGTACTGAGTCTATACCTCAGCTTGATGCCTGAGGCTATGAGAACCAGCCTAGGGCTTGAGTCTAATAGTGCTGACCTGGCACTGTGTTGTTACTGGAGGTTTGTTTCACAGTTGGTGGACTTGAGTCATGTCTGTATGGGTTGGTCTTGCACCAGAGTAGACCTAGAACCTAGATCCATAGGTCTCGGCTCAGAGTCTGGGGCGTGAGTGCCAGCCTAGTGTTGGGACAGGCCCAAAGTCTGGGTACTTGAGGGCAGGTCTGTGTCCTAGGATTTCAGGTACCACCTTTGTGTCTGGCACCATGGGGGCTTGCCTGAAGTTGGAGACTTTGTGGGCGGGCCTAGAGCCTTGGGCAGTGAGGAACAAGTCTAGGGCCTGGAGTCATGGATATGGCCTGGCACTAGAGTGGACTAAAGGCTCAGTCCATTGTCATTGACCAAAAGCATGATGTCATGAGGGCTCCCATGGTGCTGGGTTTTACTGAGTAGGCCCAGAATTGGGGTCCAAGGCAAAGTATATTTCTCACTTCATTCTCCTTCTCTCAGATAAAAGACATCTCTTCTCACACTGTGGTGCCTAGGGTTGGGAGAAGAATGGTACAGATCATGTGGAACTGTCCTTCTCACCTTTCCTCGTGCTCCTTTTCTTATTTTTGTATTACACTCAGTCACTGTCACCTCTCAGCTGGTTTGTTCAACTCCTGTGAAGGTACTTCTCCACAAGAGAGTTATTCAGATTGATGTTTCTGTGAGGGAATAAGAGCTAGAAAGTCTTACTCTTCTATCTTGCTGAAGTCAATCCTCTGTGCCTTTCCATATAAAATATTTTTTTAAAAATTGCCAGGGAGCATCATGCACTCACCAGAGAGAAAGAGAGAGCCAGAGAGAGAAAGTAAAAAAGCACCCCCAATGGGAAATGGTCACACTATAATCTTCTCTCCTCCATTTCTCCATCCCATTGGGATTTGAGGCATGTACACACATGCATCTGATATATTTTTGAAGCTGTTTGGATCAGGAGTTGGTCATGTGGCATTGGTCTCCCTTAGCCACTAGGTATTAGGGCTGGCCTGCCACATAATTTTAATAGTACTTAGCACAGAATAAGCACTCAATAAATATTAGTTATTATTGTTAGCTGTTATTAGTTCTGCATAGTAAATCAGTTTATTTAATTGAGCACCTACTATGTGTCACTTTACTAGGTAGTGAGGCTATAGCAGCCTCATTTGAATAAGACAGACATGGTTCCTAACTTGTTGGAGCTTACCATCCGAAGATCTATCTAATAAGCAATTATATGAGAAGTCTTTTTCTTTTCTGTTCTTCCCATTTTAAAAGAGGAGCCATGAGAACTTATAGCATAAGTTCTGTTAGTATGTGAGAACAGGAGAGGCCTCCCTAAAGAAGTGATGTTTAAGCTAAGACTTGAAATAGGAAAAGGAATAAACCAGATGGGTAAGCTTGGGGTGTGTGTGTGATCTGTGTAATATGGTAGGATTCAGAAGGAAGGTAAGAGACCAGTCAAGGAAGTAAATAAAACACCCTGGTGAGAAAAAAGCTTCAACTGTAAAAACAAAAACTAGAAAAAAAGCCTGGACTGTAGAAAACAGAAAGATGACATGTACACAGTCAGAAAACAATGAACTTGGACTTTGTCTAGGTGGGACTTTATCTTGCTATAAGATGTGTGCTCCCACCAGAGAGACAGAGAGACGGAAAATGAAAAATCACCCTCCAGGCGGATGGCCACACCACAGTCTTTCTCTTCCATTGTCCTCTTGAGATTTTGGGCAGGCGCGCACACACACCTGGCATGAGTTTCAAGTCTCCAGGTCTGGGACTCAAACCGTAGTTGGTCATGTGGGAGTCTAGTGATGTAATCTTTATGCCATCTGCTGGTCCCCGGACTTTATCCTAAAGTCAGTGGGACAACATTGGAAGGTTTTAAGAAGGAAAGTGGTGATGTTTAGCTTGTTCTTCCCTTTTATATTAGGAGATGTTCCCAGCTTGTTAGTTTTAAAGATAATTAAATACAATTCAGTCTTTCCATTAGCCAGTATACCTTCAGGTTTTCCATGTGCAACAGCCACCCAATACATGATACTGACTACAATCCATGTTACTGAAGGCAATCCATGCCACCACCTGAAGAGACAAGGGTGCCTCCCAGAAAAGTTACACTTCTTTCAAAAGCTCTATGAAAAGGAAGCTGAGCTGTTGATATTACAACCTTCCTATTGATACCTCAAGAGAGCCAAGCTGGCAAAAATGTTTTAACTCAAATTTTAATTTTCAACTTGTTTATTTAGTGTAGTTTTTCTTCATGCAAAATGCATTTTTTAAATAAAAATTTCAAACAGCACAAAACATTATGTATGGAAAAGAAAACCTGCTTCCCTCTAGATTGTCCTTTTGCATCTCCCTCTTTTGAGGCAATCACTCTCTGTGGTATTTTGTCTACTTTTGCAGTAATTTTCTGTGCACAGGAAGGCATTTTTTTTTTTCTCTTTTGAACGTGCTGTAGAGTATAAAATTCAGAAAAACAATTTATGAAGCCAGGAATCTCAGGGATCAAATTCTGTCTTTTCTATTTAAATTAGTTAGTGTGTATAAAATATTTAAAATAGTGCTTGGCTCATAAGTCTTCGGTAAGTGTTAGCTTTATTTTTTACTTACTTTTTTGTACTGGAATAGGTATATACATGCATTTGTTCTGCAACTTGCTTTTAAATTATCAATATATTAACTTTTGAAAGTTTGCTATATTCTAAGTGCTTTATTTGCATTATTTCAATCAATCTTTGTAACGCTCTTTGAACTAGGTATGATAAGAATCTCTGCTTTTTAGACTAGGAATCAGACTAAGCGCAGAGAGGTTATTCTGTACTGTTCTTGAGTCAGTACAGAATAAATAGCCTATATTTAAACCAAATTCCAGTACCTTTACTCTTAACTCCTTTACTCTACTGTGTTTCAAATAATTGCTTGGGTCAGTCCAATAGCCTACTGGTTGAGGGAGCTAGATTCCCCATAGCCAACTGCAATTTGAATCTTAGCCCCAGAGACTTAAAAAAACATTTGGGGCATATGTGTGTGCATGTCCAAAATCCCATGAAAATGCAAAAGTGAAGGAGAAGAGATTGCACTGTGACCACACCCCATTAGTAGTGTTTTCTCCTTCTCTCTGTCTCTGTCTCTGTCTCTCTCTGGTGAATGTACCTGCCCTCTGGAAATCTTTTTTTTAAATCAAATAATTGGTTGATTTTTGTATCTGTTTTACTTTGCTTTTTTGAGCACCTTATTTTATAACACTTTTTTTTTACTGTTTTTTAGACCAAAGCTGATAAAAATTTCAGAACTGAGCATTATGAAGAACAGTTTCAAGCATTCCATGGCATCATCCGAGAGAAGATATCAAATTTTGATGCAACTTTTGCTCTAAAATTCTCACCCACTGAAGCAATAAAGACATCCAAAGAACCTTCTCATGAGAAAGACAACCCAGCTGCCGAGGTTCCCGCTGAAGCAAAAATAAACCCCAAAGGATTTGCTCAGAAAAGAAATCCGATTTCTGTAGAGGGAAAGGGTAGTTTTAAATTTTCATTTTCCCAAAATGAAACTTACCTAAAATTTTTGTCACATTCTTCAAAGAAGGTAAGATGAACATTTTAATATAATGAATATAATGGGCTATGTTTCAGATTAACCAAGTTCCTCTTTTAAGTACTTAGAACAGATAGAGATCATAAAATAAAGAAAGTAAGACATATCAAATCCTTGAATATGAAGTAGAACATTAGGAAGAAGAGTACTAGTTGAAGAAAAATCTGATGAGATTGTTGGTAGCAATGAGTGAGTTTAATATTTGGTGGTGGTGAACAAACAATATATATTAAAAATTTGTAGTACACTCTGACTGAAATCGTCGTAACAGGCCAGGTAGTTTATATAATAATCAGAATTTTAATGCAGAATCACACTGAGGAATTCTGGTGATTCTTTTTTTTTAGGAGGGGTAGCAAGGGGAGTTTTTTGGTATTGTGCGTGCACTCACCAGAGAGACAGAAAGCAAGAAATCACTCCCCAGGGGGGATGTCCACACCACAATCCTTCTCCATTCTCCTCCTGGGATCTTGGGCACATGTGTACACATGCCCAGTGTGAGTTTTAAGCTAGTGGGTCCAGGACTCAAACCACGGTTGGCCATGTGGGAGTCCAGTGACGTAACCACTACATCATCTGTTGGTTCCTCCTGGTGATTCTTTGCCATGTCTTAGAATGATAGTTACTTACTTATGACATGGAGTGTCTCTAAATTACTGTGGTCATAAAATAATACATATTGCATATGAAAATTGGTCAGATTACTTTGTAACCATACTTTTAATATTTTGGTATTTTATCTGTTTTTTTTTCATATTTAAGCTGGATTTTGCAATTTGTTTCATCTCTCTTGGGATACATATAAAATATACTTTTTTTTTTTCTTTTAGAGAGAGTGTTTTGCTATAGGGACCGTGCACTCACCACAGGGAAAAAAGTGAGAAATTCACCCCTTTGGGGGATGGCCACATTCCAATCCCTTCTTCTCCATTCTCCTCTCAGAATTTTGGGCACACATGCACAAACTCCCAGTGTGAGTTTCAAGTGGCTGGGTCTGGGACTCAAACTGCTGTCAACCAAATGGGAATCCAGCACGTTAGCCACCATGCCACCTGCTAGCCACAAAATGTACTTTCTACCATTAATATGATGCTGGAGAAAACGTTCCTTCTTTTTCTGATATCACAGTCACATGCTTTTTGCAGTCAATTCACTGCTACCTGAGAAGGAACCACTGAGCAGCTTTGTCTGACCATAGCTTAGCTCTGTCTGTTCTGGAACTTTATAGATAAGGAAAATCATACAGCGTGTATTCCTTTATGTCTGACTTCATTCCCTCAATATTTATGTCATTTTGCACATTAATAGTTTGTTCCTTTTTTATTGCTGACTACTATGCCATTGTGTGACTATTACACAATGTGTTTATAAATTTCTCTTGTTGATAAGCATTTGAGTCCTTTTAAATTTTAAGCGATTTTGACCAAGGCTGGCATGAAATTCTGTACAGTTCTTTTGTAGACCTTTTTGTTGAGTTTTTCCAATTAGTAATAGTTATTGAGACATGGCAGAACTCCATAGATAGGAAAAGTAGGACAAAGTTGTAATATTTATTGGTTGCCTTTGGGTAGTGTACTATTTCTTTTTTATTCCTATACTCTTGTTTATTTTAATTATAATTTGTAATTGACATATAGTAGTTGTGCATGTTTATTGGGTAAAGTGTAGCCTTAAAGTACATGTATACTATGTATAGTGATCAACTCAAGACAATGAACATCACCATCATTTCAGACATTAATCCTTACTTTGAGTTGTGAACATTTGAAAGCCTCTCTTCTGGCTATTTTGAGATACACACCGAGTTGTCACCAACTACAGGTTCTCTGCTGTGCTAGCCTACTCTGGAACTGATTTCACTTATCTTCTTGCTCTCTTGAATCTATTGTATTAGTGAAGTTTTCCCTGTCTGTCCAACCCTCATCTTTTCCCCAGTTCCTGGTATTCACTGTTTTATTCTCCACCTCTATGCAATCAAACTTATAGTGAGGATGCATGATATCTGTCTTCAGTGCCTGGTTTGTTTAATAACATTGTTTCCTCCAGTTCACTTATGTTTATAGTGTTAGTGGTTATGAAAATTATATAAGGAATTATGGAAAACACAATGGAAGCTCCTCAGCTAACTAAAAATAAAACTACCACATGATCCCATAATTCTGCTCCTGGGTATATACTTAAAGCAAAGGAAGTCAACATTTCAAAGAGACATCTACAGCCCCATGCTTGTAGCAGCACTATTGACAATAGCTGTGGAATCCATGTAAGTGTCCAACACAGATGGATGAATAAAGGAAATATGATACACACACACACACACACACACACACACACCCCAAATGGAATATTATTGAGTCATTGATCTAAGGTAAGTACGTAGGAATAGAATTTCTCATCACAGGGTAGCTGTGTCTTTAGCTTGGTAAGAAACTGCCAAGGTGGCTATATCATTTTATATTCCCACTAGCCAGGTATGAGTTCCAGTTGCCACAGATCCTCACCGACAGAAGCTATTGGTAGTATTTAAGAGTAGCCACTCTAGTGGACTAAAGTCATATCTCATGGTCACTGTTAAAAAAATTTATTGCCACTGGGAATTCTAAACATTGTGATTTTTTTGAGTTTAAAATAATCATAGTAAAACTTATATTTCTTTTTTTTAACCTGCTCTAAAACAAAGGAAAAAATGTTTCTCCATGTGAAAGGAGAAATTCATCTGGGAAGATTTTTGATGCGAAATAGAGGCGTCGTGTTGACGGCAACTTTCTTGGATGATTTGAAAGCTCTGCCAAGTACCTATGAGAAAGGAGAATATTTTGCATTTTTGGAAACCTATGGAACCCACTATAGTAGCTCTGGGTCTGTAGGAGGACTCTATGAACTATTATATGTTTTGGATAAAGCTGCCATGAAAGAGAAAGGTATGCCTAGGGATAGAACGCTGATGTCAAATGCTGTTGCTATTATTGCCAGAGTGTGTGTGTACTCACCGGAGAAGGACAGGACTACAAGACAGAGAGAGGAAGAGGGAGAAAGCCCCCTCCAAGGTCATGCCACCAACTCTTCTCCTCCATTTATCCGTTCTGTCATGACTTTAGGCCACACATGTGCCCCTGGCATGTTTCTTAAGACTCTGGGTATAGGATTTGAATCACAGTTGGCCATTCGGGATCTGTCTCCTTTAACCACTAGGCTATGGGGCAAACCCTCAAGTGCCATTTTTATTAAATTTTAGGTTGTCAAGAAAGTCTTTCCTATGCAAAAATTTGTCATGACTTTCCTGACAATCCAATATATGGTGGAAGATATTTACCTACCAAATATTATCCCTTTTGCTAATCTCTTGCAATGGTTGAAGTCTTTAGAATAGATTCCTGTAAACTGTTCCTTTGAGAGAACCTTCTTTCTGCCATTTGGCACCTAAAATCCTATCAAATAGAAAAACTGACTTCTACCACAAATAAGCTGGCTTGGCCATATACTACCCAGCAGCATAACTGAAAGATGTATCAAACTGGATTACAGTTTGATATCTATTATATGGTAAGGTTGCTATTAGTAAAATATTTAACAGATAAAAGAAAGTACAAGAGGTACAATATACATAACCTATTTTTTTATTCAGGAGACTGTTTTGATTCATATATGACAATTATCTCCCAAAATATTCTTCAGTTTATTTATTTATTTTCTTTCTTTTTTTGAGAGGTTTTTCCTATAGGGCATGTGCGCTCCCCAGAAGGACAGAGAGATAGAAAGCGAGAAATCATCCCCTGCGGGGATGGCCATGCTGCAATCCCTTCTCCTCCATTGCCCTCTCAGGATCTTGGGCATGCATGCACACACGCCCAGCATGAGTTTAGGTCACCAGGTCCAGGACTCGAACCGTGGTTGACTACATGGGAGTCCAGAGACATAGCCATTACGCCAACTGCTGGTCCCATATTTATTTATTTATTTTCAGAGAGAGATTTTTGCTATAGGACATGTGCTCCTTGGAGAGACAGAAAGACAGAAAGTGAGAAATCACCACCTGGAATGGGTGGGGGTGGGGGGGAATGACCATGCTGCAATCCCTTTTCCTTCATTCTCCTCTCAGGATTTTGGGCTCACATGCACATGTGTCTGGTATGAGTTTCAAGCCTCCAGATCTGGGACTTGAATCACAGTTGACCATGTGGGAATCCAGCAATGTAACCAATTGTGCCATCTGCTGGTCCCAGTATTATTTATTTTTAATTGCAAGAGGGCACATACATTCACCAGAGAGAGGAAAAAAAAAAGCATTCCCCTGATGGGATGTCATTATACTGCAATCCTTTTTCCTCCATTTCTCCATCCTGTTGAGGTTTTGGGGCACACATGTATATGTGTCCTGCACATTTTTGAAGCCACTGGAGCTGTGATTTAAACTGCAGTTGGGCCATGTGGAATTCAGCTCCCTGTGCATAGTGCTTAAGCATGGAGCTATGGGGCCATCTTTAGTATTATAAGGGAACTGTTGTTCTAAATGTTCTCTAAGAGGGGAAAGAAGTAATGTTATCATATAAATCTGACTTTTTGTTTTCTGCTATAGGGCCCCTGCACTTTCTGGAGAGAGATGGAGAGAAGAAAGTGAGAAATCATCCCCCCAGGGGGAATAGCCACACTACAATCCCTTCTCCTCCATTCTCCACTTTGAATTTTGGGCATGCATGCACACACATGCAACTGGCATGATTTTCAAGCCAACAGGTCCAGAACTCAAACCTTGGTAAGCCATGTGGGAGTCCAGTGTCATAACCACCATACCACCTGCAGACCCCTAAATCTAACATCTTAAAACAAGGGTGGAGGGGCCAGCAGGTAGCTTAGTGGTTAAAGTGCTGGACTCCCACATGGCTAAGGGCAGTCTGAGTCCCAGACCCAATGGATGGAGAATCACGCTGGGCATGTGTGCATGCGTGCCCAGAATCCCAAGAGGAGAAGGGAGAAGAAGGGATTGTGGTATGGCCTTCCCCCTATAGGATGATTCTTCACTTTTCCTCTTTCTCTGAATCTCTCTGTTCCTTTTCTCTCTGGCAAGTACATGTGTCCTATGACAAAAACTTGAAAACTAATTAATTAATTAACTAACTAACCAATTAAAAGAGTGGGAAATTACTGTTACCTCATATGATTACAAGGCTAATAATATGATGGTGGTTTAACTGTGCTAGTGTTGAGCTTTCTGGGCACATTTGAAATCATAGGGGAAAATGGCCAGAGTTGGTCATCAGTGTTTGCCATCGGTTTAAGATAGATTTATGTGCTACACAGTTACCAGTCTGGCCCAACTAAGCCTTTTCAAAATAAAGTCGGTATAAAGAAACTATGTTAATAAGTTTTAAAATCTTTCATTTTGTAAATGATTATGGCTAGTTACAATATTCCTTAAGAAAGTGATAGATGCCCTTGTATTAATGGTTGTACCTTTTAGGGAGGGAAGTATCACTAAAAACTACTTCCATGGCTCTTACAGGATCAGAGTGGCAGTGTCAGGTGTTAAGAGTGGAATGCAACCGTAATTTTAAAGTCTAACATTCTCCCTGCAGTAAATACATGCCTTATGGATAAAACAGCCATGCCACAGACAGAACCAACTGTCCTGAGGCCTCAGTCTTCCCAAGGGGAGTGAAATGAGATTGTTTGGTTTACACTGCCTCAAGGGGCTGTCTCCTCAGCATGGTAAGGTCACCATGAGCCCCACCTGGCAGGCTGTACCAAGAAAAGAATCATGTAGGGGAGGAGCACAGGAGAACTGTGTCTTGAGAAACCTGAAAATCAAAAGAGAAAGGATCAACACGGGTGATAAAAACACAAAGGACTCTAGGCTGGCAGTGTCTTTGTTGAAAAACTCCATGAGCTGAGATTTTTAATCCTGTACACACAGAGTTATCTACTTAAATTCATTTACCTTCCAGTCTAAGGATGACTAGGTGCCTTTCAAGGGAAATCATCTTCCACTGCCAGTATTTCCCCAATGTCAATACACTAGGACAGAACCATGTCCAAGATTTGGGAACGATTCACTCCTGAGGCAGAGAATTTAAGAATTTTTGGGTTTATCGAGGTATTTCACTCTCATCTTCAGAATCCAAGGGCTCAGGCTTCTTCAGGATCTGGAATTCTGGCTTTTTGGCATTGCTTCTATTTTTAGCCTGCTACTTACTTTCCTACTGGAAATGCCACCTGATAATTGAATTTCTTACTAATCGTAGTTGCACAAAACATAGTTGTTGGGTGAACGAATGCCTGAATGTCCCCAGATGTCTACTTCTAAATCTCACTTAGGAATCCTGTGATTAAATACATGTATCCTTTCTCATAAAGCATTTTGTCTTCCAGGATAAATAACCACATATGTGTATGTGTGTGTGAGCAAAAGATCAAAAATTATGAGCAGAAATTGACATGATCAATGAACTGAAATCTAGGCTATTTACCTTTAAAATAAAGAAATTGTTATTGTGATACACTGGAGGAACAGAAAATAAATGAGAAACTTCGAGAAAATACTAGAATTTTTCTTCCTAATAACTATTTAGTCATTTGCATATCATAATGATTTGCCTTTCAAGATTGACGTCTACTGGGACCAGCAGTTAGTGTAAGGACTATGTCACTGGACTCCCATGTAGTCGACGTGGTTCGAGTCCCGAACCTGGTGGCTTAAACTATACTGGGCATGTGTGTATGCTGCCCAAGATCCCAAGAGGAGAATGGAGGAGAAGGGATTGTGCCATGGCCATTCCCCTTAGGGGGTGATCTCTCACTTTCTGTCTCTCTATCTCTGTTTTTCTGGCAAGCACACGCGCCCTATAGCAAAAACCTCTCCAAAAAAAAAAAAAAGATTGACAGCTACTGAACGGCATCCACAGGACCAGAAGGAAGTTGCATAAACATAGGCCATCTGCTCCAAGCAAAGAATCAGCTATGTTAATAATGAATTGAGTCTTCCAAAGAGGATCAGAAGATGTTGACTCATCCTATGACCCAATTATAAAGTCAAGATAGAGGAACACTTAGCAGCCAGACAGCTTAGAATTCAGAACCCAACTAGTCTTATTATTAGCTGAATAGTTAGCCATCAACAGGTTACTTAACCTTGTTCTGTGATCTCATATTCTCATCTATAAAATGAGACTAATAATAGTATTTACATCATAAGGTCAATGTAAAGATTAAATTTGTTAGTGCGTACAAAATGCTCAGAATAATGCTAGGCATGTAATGAGCATTCAATACATGTTAGATACTTTTGTTTCATCCTATAGTGTTAGAAATAATGAGGCCTTATGTCTGAAAGAGTTGTATCCCACATGGTCAACTAAAAAATAATAAGGCCTTATAGTCTGAAAGAGTTGTATCCCACATGGTCAACTGCACAGTTTGGTTCTCAGCCCTGGCAGCTTGAGAAACACAGTGGGTACATGTGCATGCATGCCCAAAGCCCCGACAGAATGTAGAGACAGAGAATTGTGGTGTCACAACATCCCACTCTGGGGTGGGGAGGGTGCTTTCTCCCTATCTGGCTGTCCTTCTCTGATGAGTACTTGCACTCCTTGGAAATTTTTAAATATTTTTTTAAAAAGACAAAGTATTTCATTATAACCACCCTAGTCTGGTCTATATTCCTTTTAACAAATGGTAAATGTAATATGTCCTTTGCCATTAAACTGATGAGAAAGACAGAAATATTCTGATACAAAGACAAAACAGAGCAGATATGACCTTGCATTTAAATTCACTAATGTTATCCGGGAATCCAAGTAGGTATGTGCTTTAGAAGATAGTAAAATCGGAAGTCATCTGTGAAGTTGATAGACGATATCTAATACTTTTCAAATAAATACATTAACAGGTGTGGAACTAACAGATGTAAAGAGATGCCTTGGGTATGATCTGGAGCTATCTCTGGGTGTCTCTGGACCCTCTGTTGGAGGTGAAGCTTCAGGCCAGTTCAATAAAAAGGATTGTTTAAAGACAGGTGACGGTAAAGCTAGTAAGTATGGCCTAACATTTGATTTATAAAGCTGATGGGAGATGTCAGTGAGTACCACCCTCTCACAATGAGCTAGTTGTCTTCCCTCTCTTATTTAGAAAAATTTAAAAAGCTAAAAAAACTATTTTATCTTTACAGTGGTTTCCAAACTGCTATAGACACAAGAGCCCATGGATATGTATTCATCAGTGTCATGCTTGTACAAGGTCTGAAGTAAATCACCTTAGGGAAGGCTATTCACTCTATAGTCATAGTAGAATTATGTATTTATCATGGTGATGGTAGAAGATTAATGGTTGGAAAATATCTTGAGAAGTTTCCTTTTTCCCCTTAACTTTAACATAGTTTCTGAATGAGCTAGTAGCAGTGCTATATGAGTCCATTAACAAAGGAGAAGACCAAAACCCATCTCCTCAGTACAACCTTCCACATGACTCAAAATCTCTAACTCATCTGGTCATTAAATCAATGCATACCCTTTCTAAGAATTCAAATATATCTGATATGAATATTACTTTCTATCATTAATCTTTAACGGATTTACAAGCAGGCATTAGTACTGGAGTTCTCATTTTCATTTTTATCAGAAATACTTGAGAATATTTTCTAAAATACCAATGCTTGAGATTTACCTTTAAAGAGTCTACTGATATTGGAGAGGCAGAACAGGAGAAGACTGATACTTTGAAAACCATACCAAGCACTACCATGTGGCCACGATTGGAAACCACTGATAGGTGATAAATAAATAAATAAATAAATAAATAAATAAATAAATAAAATAAAGCCTGAGCTTGCCAACATGTGTAGTAATTTCTATATGTGGTCTTTAATCTAACTGCATAATTTTGGATCACTCTACCTCTCCAAGTTTCAGATTTCTCATTCATCAAAATGAGAAAGAATAGGTAAAAAATTGTGTTGAAATTCCTTTCTGGTTCCAAAAATTCTTAGCTGCAAAGTTTCACAAAGGTTTGTTTAAAATGGCTTAGTCTGAAGAGAAACTAAGATGGGAAAGACGGGTAGGACTTCGGGGTGGAAAGGAATTTTATTTTTAACATAATTTTTTATAACACTAAACTGGTTTAAAGAAAGCCTATACAAAATATATTTGTGAAGGTAAGACTGCAACAAAATGTCTATAGTACACCCAAAGTCATGTTTAGCTTTTATGTGTGCACATGTGTGTATACAGAAGCTGTGAATTATCAATGTATCTAGATCATCTATAGCGTTTTTATTTCTAAAAAAGAGATGATTGAAGTCCATGATTGGCACTAGTGAAAATTGCTCTTATAGATTTGGGGTGACACAAATTATATCAATAATAATTTACAATGAAAATTCAATAAATACACTATACTAAGAGACTTAATGAATGTTTACCAAATATCATCTTGATGACTAACCAGAGACCTACAATGCTTCTCTCTAATCCACCCTTCTCTTCTCAGTGAACCTCACCAGAGACAATCTCATAGATGATGTTATTTCATTCATCAGAGGAGGAAGTACAAAGACTGTAGCTCAAATGAAAGAAAATCTTCACAAAGGAATCAAGACAATTGATGTGAACGACTTTGTAAACTGGGCCTCTTCCTTAAATGATGCTCCAATACCCATTAAAAATAAAGTAAGAAATGTTTATTTTCAAAAAGAAGAGTGTATCATTTTCATATTAAGTGTCACAATTGGTTTAGATGAAGAGCTAGCTTCATCTGAAAGAGGTGTGAGCATTCAAATGCACTCCCATCTCACCCCTGGAAGGAGGCATGATATTAAAGAAAGACATGGTCCGAATTCCTGTCTCTGTCCCTCAATGGATATGTGATGTTTTCTGGTTCTACAGCACAAAGTTTCCCAGGTCTCCATGTTTATTCTGAGAATGTAAAAAGTTTGCTTATAGTCTATAGCACGGGATTGACACAGAATAAGGATTCAGAAATTTGTTATCCTCAGTCTGTCCTTGGTTGTTCTTTGCCTTCTTATGCCACTCATACTACCATATCCGACACAGAAGAATTGTATTCACTTAGGATTTTTTTTCATCTTTTTGTTTTGTTTTGTTTTGTTTTGTTTGTTTTTTTGTTTTTGGGGTTTTTTTTTTTGTGAGGCTTTTGCTATAGGGCATGGGCACTTGCCAGAAAGAGAGAGACAGAAAGTGAGAAATCACCCCCAGAAGGATGGCCACACCACAGTCCCTTCTCCTCCATTCTCCTCTTGGGATCTTGGGCACACATGTACATGCACCCGGTGTGAGTTTAAGCCACTGGGTCCAGGACTTGAACCGTGGTCGACCACATGGGAATCAGGAGTACAGTGACATAGCCATTACACTAACCCCTGGTCCCTATTTAGGGTCTTTATCAAAGAGATATTCACAAGGTCTTTGAGAAAAAACAAGAATGAACAATTCTTACAATCAGAAAATCCTTCCCTATCTTCTGTCTTGATTACGGCAGTCTTCAGCCTTAAATCCTTTGGGAGTTCACGTCTGGTACTCATTCCTGGAGGGAGATGTTATAATTGTAAAGATGTAAATGCCAATGTTACTTAACCTCATATTCTGTTCCTCAAGTTAACTTTAAAGAGTATGCGGTTTTTTTCTTCTGCTTCCTTTATTCCTAATTTCGGGAAGTATTTTTTCCTGCTTCCCTTTATAGCTTTCAATTTTTCCTGTATGTCTCACAGTTTTCTTGGGTCAAATTATCTTTGATTGTTTCTATTTCAATTTGATTCATTTGAGTTACAGAAATGTTGACATGTTTTATAGGAATAGTTGTTGGAGTATTTTACTCCTATATTCTATCTCTATCTTCTTGTTTTTAAACAGAGTGAAACCTCCAAAGCTATTGTTACTGAACAAAAGTAGTTACAAATTGGGAACAATCACTTACTGCCACTAGGTTTGCTGAGGGGTCAGAGGAGGAATGTCATCCAGGAGACCAGGAGACAGATGGTTTGCTAAAAGGGCATCTCCCAGGATGGATTTTTTTTTTTTTTTTTTTGACTTTTGCCATAGGACACATGCACTCACTGGACAGAGACAGAAAGAGGGAAAGTGAGAAATCATACCCCAGCAGAGATGACCATGTCACAATCCCCTCTCCTCTATCCTCCTCTCAAGATGTTGGGCACACACACGCATATATCCAGTGTGATTTTTCAAGCCTCTGGGTCCAGGACTCAAACCATGATTGACTGTGGGAATCCAGTGCCTTAAGCACCATGCCACCTGCTGGCACCAAGGATGAACTTTTATAGAGAAACCATTCCTGCCAAGTCTTCAGTAGGTCTGTGTATAAAAAAGAAGGATTAAAACTTGTGCAGCTCTGATTGGTCAACTCAAGCAGCAGTCCTATTGGCCTATTATTAAAACTGGTACCCTTCAGGACCAGCAGGTGGCATAGTGGTTACTTCACTGACTCCCACACGGTGACTGAGGTTCAAGTTCCAGATCTAGTGGCTTGAAAATCATGCCTCTCACTTGCATGTGCATGCCCAAGATCCTGGGAGGAGAATGGAGGAGAAGTTATTGTGGCATGGCCATCCCCTTCTCCAAAGGAGTGAGCTCTCACTTTTCCTCTCACTATCTCTGTCTCTCTCTTATAAGTACACCTGTCCTAAGGCAAAAACCTCTTAAGAAAAAAATAATGAAAAGAGAAAAAAAACTAGTACCCATCTAGCCAGTATCCACACTACCTCCCAACAGTGGGGTCAGACTTCTGTCATTCAGTCTTCCCTGAATAGCTGCCCTCCAACAAACTCTTAAAGTGGCAGTCAGCTCAAGGTCTCTGCCATTCAGGCTGGTTCTGGCTGGTTAGAGTATGTCATCTAACTGAAAAAGAACTTAGAATCTGAAAATTATAGTCTATTCTCCCTTTAGGTTATAAAAATATAGCCACCTACGGGTGTGTGAACATATCCCTAAGACTTCAAATATCTTGTCCCAAAGTAGGAAAAAAGAAAAAAAGCTGGACAAAGTTGCATGTCCATATACGAAATTAAAATCAGAAAATTCCCTTTCATTTTGTTACACTTAAATCTTATTTAAGTTCATGATCTTGACCTTAGAAAACTAAATCTATATCAGAAAATCTTAAATAAGGGAGGAATTGGTGACTTCAGTAGATATTTACATCAAAATGGACATATAAAGTGTCTTATTTGCTTGTCTCTACAAAGAAAATTGAGCTGTTTTTGTTGGATTCCAAAATTGTTCTCTGAGAAGGGCTTAAGAATAGCTCTGCATACTCTAGAACTGATTTTTAAATTTCAACTAAAGCATCGGCTGACGAGCTAAGAGATTTACTAAAACTACTCAAAGACCTTCATCTACATTGTCAGCATATTTCTTCTGACTAAATAAAGGATATTTAGGATCAATTGTTTACTTCCCTAGATTTTTAGATTGTAAGTATTCCATATAAACTACCTATATAAGTTTCTTTCTTCCTAAATTGGAAGCCTCATCTTTCCATATCAATGTTCTATGTAAGGAAATGGCATTGACAGTTGGTCTACTATGGAGTCCTTTTGAAGTTTATCTTCTAGAGAAAGTTCAGAAAAACAGTAAAATATTGTGGGTTTTATTGACTCTGCATGGCTTTCAAATTCCTTAGGAGACATGAGATATAGTTAGTTTAACCTCAAAATAGAGGTCAAGTCATTTTACTCTTTAACTTCAGTTAGAAGAAGCTCTTTGGTTAACTGGTAATTAATTATCCAGGAAGTAATTATACAATAATCACCATATTAAGTGCATAAGAAGCTCTTTGGTTAACTGGTTATTTTCCAGGAGGTAATTATACAATAATCACCATATTAAGTGCATCTACAATCACCAATTCTGTGGTAAATGGAAGCATTCTGTTACCTGCAGATGAAATGTTCAAACAGTAGGGTTGGTATTAATAATAAAATAATTATTTTGATATTATCCTATTTACTTACAGAATTGTGGAAGCTTTCCCCACCCACCCTAAACTACACATTAACCTATAATTAATCCTCTGTAGCAAATTAAATCATTTACCTGTGTATTTATGTTGCAAATAATTTATCTTGAATGGAAGCCCAGGAATCTATATTTAACTCTTATGTTAAGTTAGTTAAATTAAACACAGTATGCGCACATTACGAAAATTTCTAGGTAAAATTCTTGGTAAAGAGGCCAGCAGATGGTGTAATGGTTTGTCCCTTGACTCCCACACAGCTGATCACAGTTTGAGTCCTGGACCAGGTGGCTTGAAAATCATGCCAGGCACCTGTGTGTACTTACCCAGGATCCTAGGAAGAGAATGGAGGAGAAGGGATTGGGGCATGGCCATCCTTCTGGGGAGTGATTTCTCACTACCCCTTTCAACGACTCTCTCTCTCTTTGAGATTTTGTGTTCAGATATTTGATCTATTTTGAGTTTATTTTTTGGTTACTGGTGAGTGACAGGGGTCCAGTTTTATTTTTCTGCAGGTGGCTATCCAGGTTTTCTAATACCACTTGCTAAAAAGATTTTCTCTTTCCTGCTGGATTGTCTTGTGTCCTTGTCAAAAGTCAGTTGACTGTATGTTTTGAAGTTTATTTCCGGTTTCTCAATTCTGTTCCATTGGTCTACATGCCTGTTTTTGTGCCAGGTCCATACTGTTCCAATTCTCACAGCTTTGTAATATATTTTAAGATCAAGGAGTGAGATGCCCTCCTACTTTATTCTTTTTGTAGAGTTTTGCTTTGGTGATACACAACCTTTTATGATTCCAGACAAATTTTATTATTTTTTCCTAATTCTATGAAGAATACCTCTGGTAATTTGATCAGAATTTTATTAAATTTGTAAATTAATTTGGGTGGAATTGATATTTTGATTATATTCCAATCCAGGAACTTGGAATGTCTGTACACTTTTTTTTTTGTCATTTTCGATTTCTCTTTTTTTTAGTTTTTCATAGTTTTCCTTGTAGAAGTCTTTGGCTAAGTTTATTTCTTCCTCACTTCCATCCTGCCTTTCCATTCTCAGTTGTCCTTTCTCCATTTCCCTCAACCATAATTTGTCTATATGTTAAGTTATATTATCTCTGTCTGAAGTAACATGGGGTAATAATGAGCTAATTAACTAACCTACCATTTTTTGCAGCATGTTGTAATTCCTAGCAGTGAATTACCAGATGTTAAAGAGCATTTTTTTAAAGACTGTAATACAAGTACTCTGCTATAGTATTACATCTATAATGACATAGTGAAAGTTATTTCTAACTCTGTTACATGGGAATGAAAATAATACCCATTATCTCAGCAAAGTATACTTGGCATATAAAGTTTAATTATTTTGATTGCCTGAAAGAAATCTAAGCATACTTCATATTGGCAATTGATTTGCATTTTTACAAGTTTTGCGGTAGACCACATCTGCTGAATACAAATCTGCAAATAGTAGAAAGGTAAGAGTTAGCTGGTATAAGAGAAAAATTAAAAGTAGTATAAAATTCTAGCCTTATGAAAAGGCCAGAATTCATCAGAAAAAGAGGTAACTCTTCCAGAAAACGTCAAGAAATACATTTTGACTGTCCTTTATCTTTTTGTGGAACTTTTTAGGGTTTGCATCTCCTCTGAGACCATTGCCATTGTGTGTCCTTCATCTCTATCTCTTTGAACTGTTTATGCATTTCGCCCCATCATATTTTCTCCATGACCCGCTATTCCTGTATCTTAGATTATCTAGCCTTGACATTCCTTTGAAGAAGATAAATTTTGTTTCTCAAAAAATTAAAATAACTCTACCACATGCTTATACTGTTTGTGCCAATGTGGCAATGTTAGTAAGAGGGTTCTTTCTTCTAAATAAATATGAGAATTGAAATAGGAGTCTTATATGCTAATTTATAAAAGGACTATACTGGTGGACAGTTTTATTGACTCTGTAGAAGTTCTTGGTGTATTCTAGAAGTGATGCCATTCTCAGTTAAAAGTGTTGCAAATATCTTCTCCTATAAAAGGCTTTTTACTCTCTTAATTGTATTTTTTATAACAGCGTGCTCTTTTTTATTGTTATTTTAAATAGTTTTAGACTTGTTGTAAAGTTGCACAACTACACATATCGTAAAAGCAGTACAGCACAGAGAATTCACGTATCTTCACCTAGCAACCCCTAATGTTAAAAAAATTGTGTGACTCGTAAAATTATAAAAATTAGAACATTAATTATTTTAACCACAGACTTTATTCATAGTTCACAAGTTTTGCCTTTATCCTTCCATTTTCTGTTCCAAGATTCAATAGAGCATCCCGCATTGCATTTAGTTGTCATGTCTCCTTGTTATCACCAACATTCTAAAATCTTTTCCTCACATCGTTGTGATTTCCTGAATTTTGTCTATAGTTAATGTGTAATTATTAGGTCCTTTGCAAGAAAGATATCTGTTTTTTTAGTGGTATTGTTTTCTTTTTAAAAGGTTGTTGTCTTAAGGTTTGGGTGCTAGCCAGAGGGAGACAGAGACAATGAGAGGGAAAGTGAGAAATCACTCCCACACACACCCAGGGGGGATAGCCATGTTTCAATCTGTTCTCCTCCATTCTCTTCCTGGGATCCTACACACACACACACACACACACACACCTGGCATGAGTTTCGAACCACCAGATCCAGGACTTGAACCCCTTAGGCTTTATGTACTGAAGACATTGTGTATTTCCAGAGATGCCAATGAGGACACCGGGGCCTCCAGTTGGGTGTTTTTCAGTTCTAGGTGAGGTTACTGTTGTGCACTGGTGTTTCCCCTGTAGAGGGAGTGGGTTGCCTGGACCTGAAAATGATTACGACCATGTAATGTGGTTGCCTGTTTCTCAGACTCCATGTAGGGATCAGGGACCTCCTCTGTGGGATTTAGCAAAGTGAAAAATATCAGCTGAAAATAAGTAATAGCCTCTGCCTTGGATGGATTGCACACAGGAAGAATGTATGTTTTGGCTGAGAAGTTGTGATGCAGGAGATAGTGATTTAGTTAGCAATCCCTAGAGATAGATAAAGTTGTCTACTCCAGTGCCTAATTCTCTCCACAGTCATGGCATCCCTCTGCAGGCGGTTCATTGCTGCCCAGTGAGACAAGAATTTTATTTTGCATAGAATGGAGCTATGTATGTCATCTTGCAAGGCTTGGCTTTGTGGGAGCTGTGTACTTCCATTGTGCAGCAGGGGGCTGGGGCTTCTGTAAGTCTGTGCAGCTAGAGGGTGGAGCTGGAGCATCTATTTCCTACCAGAGAGATGCCACAACAGATGTTTCATCTTGCCCCTCCTTCCTACAATTTCTATTTTAAATTTATCTTCGTAGTTTTTTTATTAACATGGCCTCCTTCCGTAGTGTGACCACCATGATAACAAACATCCTGACTAGTTTTGATCACTAATCTTAAAAAACTAGCATCATATCAAGCAGTAATAAGCTCCAATAAGCTTTTGTTGAATTAATGAATCAATGAATAAAAAGCTGAGTAAAGAATATTCTATAAGCTCAATTAGTAGAAAGCAACTAGAAATGAAATGTTTTCCTTTCTTGCAGCTGTCTCCTATATATAATCTGATTCCTGTGAAAATGAAGGATGCACACACAAAGAAACAAAATTTGGAAAGATCCATTGAAGACTATGTCAACGAATTCAGTGTAAGAAAATGTTCCCCATGCCAAAATGGAGGTACTGTGGTTCTGCTGGATGGATATTGTTCATGTTCCTGCCCATTCAAATTTGAGGGACTTGCCTGTGAAATCAGTAAACAAAAACTACCTTAAGGTGAGAACAACTTATTGGATGTTATTATGGACAAAAATAGGTACTTTGTGGTTACTGAATTTGAAAATTAGCTCTTGAATTTTGACTTTGTACTAAACTAAATTATCCATGTAAACAGAGTATAAAAATTGAGTGAGTACTTAAAGTAGATCAATCAGCTTTCATGTGTCATGTCAACAACTTCTACCTCTACATATTTAAGTAAAATTATAAACAAATAATACATTATAATTATTATATTATTTTATCTATAAAAATAGTCATATAAAATGGTACAGAAATATAACATCAAGAATTTGCCATTTAGAATTAAGAAACATTAAACACTTCATAATATAAGAGTTATTACACACTTTGTGTATGTATATAGATGTGTGTGTACACATAGACATAAACAAGCATACAGTTATGCATCACATAGCAACAGAGATATGTTCTGAGAAATGCAGTTACCTAACTTCATCATTGTGAGACTATCACAGAGTATATTTACACAAATCTACATGGTATATAGTCTACCGTGCATTTAGGCTATACGGTATAGCCTATTGCTCTTAAGCTATAAGCCTGCTCATGTTACTGTACTATATACTGGAGGAAATTGTAACACTGTATATGTGTTTGCATATTAAATATATCTTAACAGAAAAAAAGGGACAGTCAAAAATGGTACATCTATATAGGGTACTTACTATAAATAGAACTTGTAAGACTGGAAATTGCTCTGGATGACTCAGTGAGTGAGTGGTGAATGAATATGCAAGTTTAGGACATTATTGGGCCCTACTGTAGATGTTATAAGTACTGTACACTTAGGCTATACTACATTTATTTTTAATTTTTTTCTACAATAATAGTTTTAACTTGCTCTAACATTTTTACTTCATAACTTCAAAACATTTTAACTTTAGGTTCTTTTATAATAACACAATTTGAAACACCAATACATTGTACAGTTACATATATTTTTCTTGATATCATTATTTACTCTATTTAGTACTTGGTACCTCTATTTTTTTATCTGTTGCTCTCTATGTGAATTATTTTGCTGTTCTGTGATTCCTTCAGGGAACTGAATAAGATTCTTAGAATAAGAATCCCACTTATTCTAAGCCAACTTCTCTCTTCTTCATTCACTTTATGTGTCTTCCCTTTTTATAGAACAATGATTCTCAACCTGGTCACTCATTCAATTAACTTGATTGGCGGCTTTAAAAAAGAAATAGAAACAAAAACAAAAACAAAACAAAGTAGATGTCGATCCAAGTCAATTAAAAGATAACCTCTATGATAGATCCTACCTGAGCATGGTTCTTTTGTTTGTTTTTAATTCTGGTTTTAGTCCACTTATTTTAAGCTATACCAGGATTGAACACCTTTATCTTGACCAATTATGTGGTCTTTGGGCTCTCTGATGAATCTCCAATTCCTTCAGGAATCAGTTCTCTATCTATGGTTCTTCAGCACTATTCTCTCAGCCTTTCCAGCACTAATCACACTGACTCATCCTATATAAGATGAATGGTCCTTCCAATTTGAAAATATACCTTGTATCTTCAACCTCATTCTAGACCCAGCCCCTGGACTGTATGGCACATCATGGTACAATAGGATAAGAGGATAAATACATGGATGGGTGGATGAAACCAAAGTTCAAGTCCTACTTGTCATTAAGGTTTAATAACATTTTGTTTCTCTAGGACTTCCAACTACCCCACTACTACCAAGAAAAAGAAGAACTACTGTCTTCTCTGGGCTCATGAAGAAGAAAAATACTAGAAAACTGTCCTTTTTAGATTCTGCTGCTAGAAACAGTTCTTGCTGCTAAGAGAAAAGCCACCTGCTTCATAAAAATTCTACCAACCTCTTAAGTCTCCTAAGCCTACAATGCTATGTTTTCCTCCATAAATTTCTATGCTGTTTTCATTTTTAATTTCCCAATAAGTAGTTAACAATGAAATATGCCAAGACTGCTTTCTCCCACAGGCCATTCCAATCTCCTATTAATAAATCAAAATTAAATTAAAAACAGCATGTTGGTTTAGAAACTTTAAAGTGGTCAGATTGCTTTGTATAATTAATATAGTTTGTCAGTTCTATTACCACAATCTGTACTGTGCAACTTAGCTCTTATTTACATAGCTTGTGTTTATTTCATTATTCTTTTACATGTGCATCCATGCATTCAGCAAAGATTCACTGTGCACCTACCACATGCACAATACTCTAATTTTGTTAGTTTTAGATCTCCAATTTAATCCTAGATGTCTAAGGGGAAATATGTGTTGTATTTATAACCGAAAAGCACTGTTTAAATAATAAAAATTGCCTCTATTCAATCAAATTTTCAAAAAAAATACAACATTTTCATAGGTCCAACTTAATAGTTTTACAAGTTGTGTATGTAAATAAGGCTAGTCATGGAAGAAGCTACTTAAAATTGGCCGAACAAGTCATTTGGTATATTATAATGACACACATGATTGAATATAAAAAAATATATAAACAAAAGTCAAAAAAAATTGGCCATACAATTTCATCCTGTAGCTCACATAGTACTTACCGCCTGAAGCTTTCAAAAAGATCTGAGAACATTTAAAAAAGAGAGAGAAAAGAAAAGAAGTCTCAAAATACAGAAAAAATGCAAAATCAGAATTAACTGTTTAGTTAAATATCAATATGTATCATGTCAAGTTTGTAAATTCTTATTATAACAAACATTTTATGAATTTATAAATAAATTGTTAGATTTTCTTACATAGCAGAAATTCTCAAGAATATACATGATTCCTGAGAAATCATGTAAAAAATAAGTTTTGACAAATAGTTTCAAACAAAATTTTTAAAATATTTTTTTTAATTTTATTTATGGGAAATAGATTATTTGATATAGGATTTATTTTAACTTGTTAGATATCATGGGAAACCATGTTCTAAAAAGTATTTAGACCCTTCAAGGTCTTAAATTTGCCCTGGGAACTCAAAAGAAGTCATCTTCTCTGTCCTCCAAAACACTGGGTAAAGCAGAAAGAATTAAGATTTGCTAAATTTATAAGAATACCAAACTCTGCTCTTAATTTGCTATTGAGAGAGGTGTTTTGTTTTTTTTTTTTATAACATCCAGATCAAGGAGGAATTATTAGAGTACCTACTGAGAGTTTCTACCCTTCTAAATTACAAATTTCAAATGAGAAAATTGCTGAGCATTGACCAGACCCTCTAGGGTCAGCTTAATGATTGACTGAGTTCTTCCTATTAGTAACAGAGGGGAGAGTTCAGTTTCACTGTTGATGGCAATTTTCTCCAACTTCTAAAGAAAGGTGGCGTATTTGGTAGAGCGTATGTCCAGCAGGGTGCACCATCGAGACACTAGAACAGCCCAACAGTAATCAGCAGAGCAACCTAGAGCAGAAAGTCTCTAGGCCTACACTGAAGGACAATCACTAAACATTAGGAGAAATGAGGACCTCCTGGCTACTAAGTATCACATGGCTCAGCCTGGATTGTTGTTCAGAGAAAGCAGATGTAACTTAGTCCAGGGGTAGGAATGTAGCATAATAGAGTCCTACCTTTGCATGCTTTTTGAGCAATGTACCACCAATTCAAAGAAAGGGACATGTGAAGACAACTTCCTCCGAGGCTCAGGTTATACATTCACATCATTACCCTGAACCACTATCAAAAGGGCCCATTATCAGAAGGACCTAGAGAAGCTACATAGTCTTGTTCACCAGAGCCTGATCGCAAAGGAAGCCTCAGAATCTTATGTTTGTACTGTTTTTTTCTTTTTCCTTTTTATACTCAAAGCTAAGACTGTTTATTCATTTTCCTGAACACAGAGTAGACGGTCAACTTGTGCCTGTCAACTAATAAATGTTTGGGGTGAGGGTCAACATCCCCACCCTGGCTTTATACCTTTGTCTTCCCTCAAAGCCCTTTGATTATACAGTGGGTTAATCCTACAGCAACCTCTGAGTTAGTCCTCCAATAGTTACGAAAAACAGCCCAGAATGGTAGATCAATAATTAGGCTGAGTCAAGTTTATTTTTTTTTAAATGAGGTGATTTGTACACACTACATATAACTTCACAAGATAAACATCTATCTCTCTGTTTCCTCCCTACTCCACCTCTCCACACCCACCTCATGCACTTATTACCATGGTAAAAACAGCAAAAGGGGGACCAGCAGATGGCGTAATGGTTATGTCGCTGGGCTCCCATGTACTTGACCACGGTTTGAGAGCCGGACCCAGCAGCTTAAAACTCACACCGCACATGTGTGCATGCATGCCCAAGATCCTGAGAGGAGAATGGAGGAGAGGAGATGGCAGTGTGACCATCCCCCCCCGGGGGGGGGGTGATTTCTCACTTCCTGTCTCTCTGTCTCTCTCTGTCTCTCAAGCAAGCACACACACCCTATAGCAAAAATCTCTCTCTCAAAAAAAAAAGGCAAAATGGTTCATAGGAAGGGCACAGTGTGGTTACTTAATAATGGACGAGTTACTAAACCCCTAAACTCTAAATTAGGCTCAGGGATAATAATATCTTTTTCATGTATTGATACATCAACATCATTCATATAAAATCTTGACACCTAGTAGAAAAGCAATAAATGATACCTGTTAACAATTGTTATGTTGCAAAGTTATTAGTCTAAATCATTTTAAATACAGCTATATTATTTGTGATATTAGGCAAGAAGCTTAAATCCAAAATTGGAAATAATGGTATATGGCAAAATAGTTTAGTGCTCCTCTCTAGTTAATGGATTCAGTGATTTTCTTTTTTTTTATTATTTAAAAAATTTCTAGTAGTCTCTTCAGGCTGCTATAACAAAATGCACTAAACTGCATGGAAAATAAACAATAGAAATTTATTTCTTAATGTTCTAGAGAGTGGGAAGTCCTTGTCTGGTGAAGGTGGGCTCTATCCCAGGTTCACAGATGGCACGTTCCTGCATCCTCACATGGGGAAGCAGTAAACAAGCTCCATGGAGCCTCTTTTATAAATCTTAACCCTATTCATGAGAGTTCCACCCTCATTATCAATTCCCAAAAACCCCATGTCTTAATACCATCACAATGGGGAACAAATCTCAATAGATGAAATTTGGGGATATGCAATTATTCAACAATAGCATAGAGTTGTTTATTTTTAATTGGAGCAAAATACATATAACAGGTCTAGCTTAGGTAGTGCGATCCTTAGTGTACTGGAGGGCAATGCTGGAAGCTGCATGTCCAATTGCAGTTTTGGAATCCCTGCCCTGTTGAGCTCAAATGTACCAGGCAAGCACACCAGGTAAGCACATGGCAAGATTATAATAAACTGGAGAGCTGGACAAAAGGGATTACAGCATGACTCTTTCGAGGATATTTCTCTCTCTCTCTCTCTCTCTCTCTCTCTCTCTCTCTCTCTCTGTGTTATGCATGTACACACACACACACACAAACACGTCATTTTCCATTTTAATCACTTAATCTTTATTTGCCAGAGGATGCATGTGCTCACTAGAGAGGGAGCAAGAACTCACAATGGGGTATGGTCATGCTACAATACTTTTCCTCCATTTGTCCCTTCCGTCAGAATTTTGGACACTCATGCATACTCACTTGGCTTGTTTTTTAAACTATTATTTGAATGTCAGGAATGTGGGATTTGGCATCCAAAATATTTCACCTAATTACCAGCCCACCATTTTAACCACTTTAAGTGTATAGTGCAGTATCATTAAGTACATTCCCATTGTTGTGCAACTATCTTCAGAACTTTTCCATCATCCCAAACTAAAACTCTACACCTATTAAACAATAACCTCCCATTCCCTGTGACACCAACCCCTATAACCACTATTGTGATTTCTGTCTCTATCTTGAATATTTTAAGTATATCATATAAGTGAAATCATAGAACATTTGTCCTTTGGAGTCGGACTTACTTCACTTAGCATGATGTCATCAAGGTTCACCTACACTGTACCATATATCAGAATTTAATTGGTTTTATTTGTTTTTTAAGACAGGGCCTCAACATTGGGCAATCCTCCTGTCTCCGTCTCCCTGAGTCGCTTGAGTTACAGGTGTATGCCACCACACCTGACATTTGGGTTGGACAGGAAACTGAATTCAGGTCTCCATGTTGTCCCAGTTTATGGAACACAGAATTTTAGCACCACACATCACAGCAGCTGGGCCTTTAGTTACTTTTTAAGGCTATATAATATTTCACTGTATATATTTACTACATTTTGCTTATTCATTCATCAATTGATGGACACTTGGTTGCTTCCTTTTGGCTACTGTGATGGTGCTATAAATATTGGCATACAAGTATCTCTCTGAGTACCTGCTTTCAGGCTATTGGATTTCAGTCTAGCAGTGGAGTTTTTAGATTATGTGTCACTTCTCCATTTAATTTGGTGAGGAATCCCATTTCCCATACTGTACTGTTTTCCACAGTGATTATAACATTCTACATCATCACCAGCAATGCACAAATATCCCAATTTCCTCACATCCTGGCCAACACTTGTTATTTTCTGTTTTCTTATTTATTTAGTAATAGCCATCTTAATGGGTGTGAAGTGATATCTTGTGGTGTCAATTTCAATTTTTCTAGTGAGTAGAGAGCGTGAGTATATTTTCTTATGCTTATTGGTCACTTTGGAATCTTTTTTAGAGAAACGTCTATTCAAGATCTTTGCCCATTTTGAAAATTGGGTTGTTTGTTTTGTGGTTATTGAGTTGTTGTTCTTTTTGCATTCTGGATATATACCCTTATAAGATAATATGACTTGCAAATATTTTCTCCCATTCTTTGGGTTGTTTTTTCTCTCTCTTGATAGTGTTCTTTTTTATTTTTAGAGGTCTTTGCACTCACCTGAGGGAGAGAGACAGAGACAGTGAGAAGGAAAGTGAGAAATCACCATCCGGGGGATGACCTGCTTCAATCCCTTATCCTCCGATCTTCTCCTGGGATCTTGGGCACAAACACATACACAACCAGCATGGTTATCCAACCACCAGATCTGGAACTCAAACCATGGTTCGCTGT